TGCTTAATCCATGCACATTGTAATTCATCCAAATGCCACTTACAAGCCTGTCTTATTTCATTAGCAATGGTGAGATTGCATTCACAGTAGATGTGAGTTAACCATCCAGCTAACTGCCCATTTTCACCTATGAAATTGGTCATTCCTTCCAAACTTGTATATTACCTTAAAAATAGCTTATTTAAAAATAATTTAGCTCTACCCATGCATGATTGTTCTGCTAATAGTAAAAATATTATTCAATGGAAGTATGTACATTACCATAAATACAGACTTCTTTAAGAAACCTTATCTCACAGGACTTTTCCATTTTACACTTTTTTTGTTACACTCAAAATCCCTTTTTAAACAAAGATTCTAAAACTAAATTGCACGAGCAAGAGACAGAAATCTTGTTTGTCACATTTACAGTTCTTATTTCTTAGGATTTGTTGGGCTTTTTTCACCCTAAGCTGACTTAATACCGTGTCTTGCACGATGGTGGTGAGACATCAAGATGAGCTGTTGCTATCTCTTTTTTCTCCAGCAGAGAGGGTGGATTAATTTCTGGACAAGTTTTCTGCACCTCCTCTCACAAATGCAAGCAGCCCTGCAGGGGAGGCAAATTTGCCCTTCTGAACAGATTGCAGGATCAGGGTGTATACATCCCCTTATCTGACTAGCAGGGACTGGAAGATCTGCAGCTCCAGTTTTAGCTTCATGCAAAATGACTAGTCAACTTACTGCAAATACTTCAACGAACTGGTACTTTACTGTTTCTTGAGTTTAAGGAATAAACTACATAAAAATCTTGCAAGTATGAAATTATGCCATACGTTATAAAAACCAGCATAGATCATCCACATTTTTTGTTGCTCTGCCCTGCGGCTTCAAGAATGGCCAGATATATCCCAGGATACTTAAATGCTTCAGCATAAGCAGGGCAAAGCAAACAAATTCCAGATCAATGGTTAATTGCAGTACATACATTAGGCACTTTCACAAATGAAATTGTGCGGTAGTCAAGGACATTTTGGAAAAAGGAAAAAAAAATAACTAAACCAAACCGGAAAAATAATGACTCTAAATGGGGCAAAATAGCAGATCTATTGGAAACATGACAAAAACAGGATGTTAAGGAAAAAAATTAAGTGGAGTCAACAAGGTTACACATAAGTAACACCTTTACATTAAAAGAAATCTATTTTCCATTTTGACCTGGAAACCTCTTCCATTAATTACTAAAATCTATTTACACAGCAACTAGATAAAATCGATCTGATTGCTCACACTATTTTTGGCTCATTTTCCATGGGCTCTGAGCATTCAACAAACTGGCTCTAGAGAAGTCAATGTTTAGATGCTCTGAGTTTCCATGTTTTGCCACCTACAAAGCTATCCTAGCTACTACTTCTGGTATGCAAGCTCTTCTGTCCTGGATATGCAGTATTTGGTTCCTGGCTCTGTCCCCTTGCCCCAAACAGAGACATGTACAGAAGCCATGCTTCCTTCCAGCCATATATGGAGGCAAAACGTCTCTACTAGTATCTCTACTGGGCTTGTTATGAGGGGTTCTGGCAGGCCCCATGGCTGAGCTCTCTTACATTAACCAGACCAAGAGCACAGGACGGCAAAAGTAGAAAAGAAGACAAACACAGAAAAGTAGATGGAGGACAGGCAGACCTTGGAGAACTGGGAGAGACACACACACCTTCCTCTACATGCATTCTCGTTTCTCGCCAGAACACCAGGTAGCTTCTAAATGAAGTGATAGCAATACATCACACATTGATATCAATACATTATTTTTCTTCTGAAGTGGAATTGTTCCAGGTAAAACATCCATAAAATTTGTGCCTGTCAGTTCAGCAAAGACATGGGCACAAAAACGGAAAATGTGTATCCTTGTATTGAAGAACACCTGCTGTTAGGTAGGCAGAATCTTGCATAACAGAAGGTAAAATCTACCTGGGACAGCTGTGCTATAATTGGAGGTGAGCACAGAGGGAAAATTATTTCTGAGATGCAGTTATGTGCTTGGCTTTAATTTCACTAAACAGAAACTACAGAAATAAGCAGAGTCTGTTTAATTAAAAAACATCTTGACCAAGTGACTTCTATTTTTTTTTTTCTTGTATCATGGACAGCTGACCCCTACCAATTTATTACTATGATCTTATCAAACTTACACCACAAGCCAGAGTTGTATTTTATATGCAATGATTCTGAGACTAAAAAAAATATTGATATTTCTACCCCATATTTGACCAGACCCAAATTACCTTTAATGTGAATTTCCATCTACCTTATCATGTAGACATCAAAGAATCATATTAATGTTCTTACATCATAGCCTGTCCCAGTCTTGAGTGTATTTTCAGCTATGGTTCTCTGGCAGCAGCTTGTCATTTCATTGAAAAATCAAGTTCCCATCGGAGGACAGAAAATTGTTCAAGGCTAGCAAGGCACCCAGACCCAAGCGTGGCTTAATTCTAATTTTAGCCATGCCCCTAAGAGTGGTTATATCTTGTGATCTGACCTTGGCTTTCAAGGGAGCCTCTGCTCTGTTCTGTTGCAGAGTAGTGATGCTAGTGAACAGCAGCAATGCATTTCCCTTTCTAATCTCAGCTGGCAAAGGCTGTTGGCTTCAAGTACTTACTTGAAGGGCTTTTCCCCAGTGTGTGTCCGGATGTGATTGTTGAGTGTTGTGGCACCAGCAAAGGCACGACCACAGTAACCACACTTGAAAGGCCTGTCACTGGAGTGCGTAACTACGTGGTTCCTCAGCTCTGAAGGTTGGGAGAAGGACTGGGAGCAGTGACCACACTGGTAGGGCCTGCAATGGGAAACAGAAACACCATGCCATCAGTGCTTTCTATTGACTTGAGCAGGAAACCGTGCAGGCAGGAACATCTGGTCTTCCAAACAATTTGCAAAGAGAACTGTGGATTCAGCTTTCTTGGGAGACACCCAAAGTTTCATGATCTCTTTAGCAAATGTGAAATGCTTGTGCAGGAATTGACTGAGAGTCCGTGGGCATCCTGCTCCAAGAAACATAATTCATCAAGCTATGAGCCAGCATTACACGTATATATGCCTGTCTTATTTCCCTCAAACTCAACATGGTATTCCTTCATCACAAAAAACTGCTCACACATCTGAACTAAGAGACTCATGAAACCCTCTGTCTGTTGGTGCCAGCTACAGTCTTACCTACAAATGCATGTCTGATTGTAAAACCCATATTGTAGGTGGATTCTGTCACTATTTGCAATTAAATACTTCATATTGCTCTGGAGGAATCTAAGTTTTCTGAGATCACATTTTTCAGTGAGAGACATTGGAATAAATAATCACCATGTTACAATTACCTTTCCATTTTCTTACTGCTATTGAAAACATTTGCATCTAATTAACACATTTCTCCCATCCAGACTGAAAACACTTCTTTTTATGACCTTGAAATAAAACTCAGAACTTACGTTTTCAACACCACAATTTGTTAAAAACAAACATAGCAAACAAACAAAACTGACTGATGTGTTACACATTCAGAATCATCACAAGCAGACTGCAAACACAGAAAAGAAAGGATACAGGACAGCAAGGTGAAACAGAACTACTGAAATGCAAATACCATTTGTAGCTAAAATGTGAAGTAATAACGTATATATGTTTCTGTTTGGTAAAAGTGATTTGATATCAACATCCTACATGGCTCTCTTTTTCACAGTTCAATTAAGTTACCAACAAAGTTCAACAATCTCATCAGATTTTTGTTAAGAAAATTAAGATTTTTTTTTCCAGAGGTGGATTAATGATTTCTACCCTGTACAACATTGTAAGTCAGAGCTCTTGATGTCTGCATTTCTAGAGCAAATGGCCAACTCCAACTTAATTGCTCTCTCTTTAATAAATGTGTATGTTTAAATGGCTGGAAACCAAAACTAAAAGGAAGGAGACAATGGTGACCAAGCATGTACAATTCAATTAAGTGCAAAATAAAGTGAACTATCTCATTTGTCAAGTGAACTGCTTAATTGTGGCTACGTGCATCACTGAACACAAATACTATTATTTTACAGTGCTTCAGAGCACTGAACCCTGATTGTAGAATTTTTTAGCTTGATTAATAGCTCAGTATTGGTCAATAACTCAATAGCTTATGTTTTTAATTACTTACATTTGAAAATCTAACTGCTCTCCAACAAGTTTGAAGAAAATATATAAAAGCTGTGTAAAGGTTACTTAACCTAGATGTTGTGGCCCTCAAAAAGTACATGAAATATGTAAAATAATGTTTTAAGAGAAAAAGTAAATGATTAATATGTTTCTTTTACTGGAAGACAAGTAGGCACATGCACAGTATTCTCCTTATTTGAAGTGTGCAGTTAATTTGCACACAAAACATTTATTGAACTTGAAATGAAAATTCAAGAGCTGCTAAAACAAAGATGATTTGTGAATACAGGTTTATTTGTTTGGATATTTTCAAATAAAACACTTTTAAGCAAAAAAGAACACATTAAGATATTCTGTATCCAATAAATATTGATTTTTATTTTTTTTTTAACAGTGAAAAGGACCATTAACATCTAGTAGCCTCTGGTTATCTATTTTTAATAGCTACCACAATAAATGATACAATACTGTATAAAACCAATTAATCTTTTATTTTTTTTAAGTCAATGTGATTAATTTCATACAGGGCAAAGTCACATGGTAACTTGTCTGTAAATAGCCAAAATTCCAAACCAGTTATAAGTGAACATTGTGACGCCAAGTGAAATGTTTTTACCCCCTACATTGGCTAAAAACTTAGTTCTTGTTTACAAAGGGTATTAATACACATCCTCAGAACACATTTCACTGTTTGATGCTCAAGAAAAAGAGATGTGAAAAAAGTTAACTATTGCTAGGTCTCTTTGTATTTTTCCCATTGATCCATATCTCAGGAGAAAAATTATTAAAGAAGTTACCCTTCTCTTTGCAGGGGTTGCATTTCTCCAGTTGATACCCAGGCAATTCGGATTGATACTAAAATGTGCAGAATAAGTAACTTTTTGAATCTAAATATATGGTATACATTAAACAAAGCTCATTTTAAAAAGTTAAGACTATAAATGCATTCAAATAACTATTTTAAGATGATGAGCAGCAATAGAAGCCTGGGCACTGAGGCAGAAATACTACAATTTGCACAGTTGCAGATTCAAATATGCCAATTTTTCATGAGTTTTGAATACTTTTATTTTTTCCAAGAGCAAAAGAAATCATTCAATAAGTATAAAAGTTACAATTTTGTCCTGTTAACAATTTTGCTATTCTCTGAAAATTTTCTTGGCAGAAAATGAAATAAAAATGTTGTTTTTTAAAAAAATGAAAGTGTTGCATAAGGACTGAACATCAGCAATGCTCAGTTCAGTGAGTACATCGACACAGGCAAAGCATGCCTGTCTTTGATGTAGCAGTTATGCTATATCTTCTGCCATCACTTCGGTCTGCACTGAAACAACAAATTAAGATGGTGACTTCTTTATAGTAGAGGTTTGCAGACAGAAGGAACAGGGACATGATGACAAAAATGGTGGCCTTCCTAAACTGTGTTTTAAAGACGTGCTGCTAGACTGAATGCAATCCCAGACCAGAAAAACTTATTTCCACTAGAATAACTGAGATCATATTTCACCTTCTTGCGCTTCAAGGTATCTATGTGAATACAAGTACAGTTGTGTCACAGTCCAGATGTGTGTTGATGCTTCAGAAAATTAATGTTCAAACAAAATGAACACTTCATATGTGAAACCTACGTAACTACAATACTCCTTTGCAGAAGTACAGGCAGATTAGAAAGCATTAATAAAATCAGTTTGATGAAACAGGTGTACCAAGCTCTCAAGGTACATGCTGACTACATGAAGAAATATTTTGGTCTATAAAAAACTGTTCTTCAGCTGTCATGAACATAGGTTTGAATGTGTCCATCATTGAATTTTTTACAAAGGATCTTACGGCCTCTTCCAGATGATCAAAACCTTCTCATATGGGATTTTTCAGCTGCATTTAAGAACAGCTAAATTGATATATAGCAATGTGCAGAGGATAATGATGTGCTGACAGCCATCAAAAGCAGTTCTAATGTTTTTCCCAAAACACCAAGCTACATATTTTTCTAGTTCTCTGCCTTTCTGTCTGAGCTTAAAGAAAGGAAATCTACTTACCTAGGAGAAAATTCTCCTGTTAGAAAATTTACACTGTCATCATTAACCCCATACACCATTAATCAGCTATCTAGGTTTACTTAACACATAGAGTCCACCAGTTTTTTATAAAGACTCTAGTCTTGCAGCCCCTAACTGTACTATGGCCCACTACAGAAACATAGAAGATTTAAAGGGAAATTCAGAAAGGGATAACTATAATGCAATATTTTTCAGGTTTTGTAGTTAATTTAGATCGTGAGCTTTTCCAAGTTTTTCAAGTTACATTCTTAAAATGAAAGCAGTCGAGAATACATTTTGCTCCCTAACTTAGTTAATTTCTGGGATGATTTTGCTGTTTGGTGTTGTCTTTTCCCATCTTAGTATTTTCTCACTTTTGTAACTGATTTTTTTTCTGGGTGAAAGTACATAATGTATAGGGCCAGTACAGGCTTGTTGAACCTCACAAAAACTCATGTTTTCAGCATGTTAAGGGATAACAGTAGAAAAATCCACATATTTGCATCTGGAAGAGCTGCAGACAGGCAACTGGACATTTAGGTTAATTCTTTTTAGATTTTCACTTACCAAAAGTGACACAGACTTTAAATATTTATCTTGTACTATTCTTCTGCTAGAATATATTTTCCAACTTCTGATTTGCAAGTTCATCCAGCCAATACAAACTTATTTTCTACATTGTAAATTATTCCTGGTCTGAATTATTAGAATCCTGGAAAACATTATAATTATTTTCCACTTAATTTTCTGATCATTTCCTATATGATTAACAGGTTTCTAGTGAGACATCTTCAGAAGTGAAGTTGATGTTTTCAGTGGCATATGGAATCCTGGCACAATCCTTAAAAGAGCAACTGCTTGTAATGGTGAGCTCCTGAATACCAGTAACTCTATCATTGAAACACTGTCAGATCAGGGAGACAAAATAGCACATTGCTGTAATTTCTTCATCATATAAAAAGCTAGAAAAGCAGTAGCTAAAAGAAGAGGGATTAACATGCAGCTGAAAGTGCTTTTCTCTTTGTTGAGAACTAAGAAGGAGTAAAAAAATCAATTTGGTTCATATCATGGTCTCAAAGCATGGGAAGCAGGGCTCCACTGAAGCCAGGGCATGGTTTCACAGCATGACAGAGGGAAGGTTGTCACACCACAGCCTGTGCAAAAACTGAAAGCAGGGCACATTTAAATGGGTCCAGCAACAGCTTTCAGAGCAAGGCCTGTGTACAGCAGAGCATTAAGATGAGAGCTACAGACAGAGGAGTTAGGTCAGAGCTGTCCTATGGAAAGGTAGTTTCCAAACCTTCATGAAAAGATTATGTAAGAATAAACACTAAATTCAGCATGATGTTTACGTTTATTGAGCAATATTGCACAGCCATTCCATAAGTAGAAATAGACAATTCTTGCTCACAACATTTACTTTTTTTAAGTCTGCTCTGGGATATGTTTAAATTAATTAATGGACTTGGGGAGAACATCAAGGTCAAAGACACAGAACCTATAAAGGAAAAGCCAAACACAAAATGTTCTGATCCATGATCTTGGGGAAAAAGATCTACTAAATTGGCAATTTTGATCTTCAAAGTCCTGGTTTTGGTTGCTTTTTTGTGGTTTTTTTTTTTTTTTTTTTTAATCAAAATTTAAAATTGAGGTGCTACTCCAAAACACGGGTACAATAGTATCTTCTGAGTAAACAAGTACAAGAGCCAGAAAACATCCACAATCTATCAGGTACAGACAGAACTTATATAGTGGATTTTCCCTCAAATTATCAGATTAAATACATGGCAGTCAGTGAGACAATATATCACAGATGTAGAGATTGTATACAAAAATATGTCACAGACAGCTCTTGAGAACTGCAGCCATCTGCCTTTCCTCCACACCAATACACCCTGAATCTGGTGATCATGGTGAGAAAGAAGAAAGATGCCATTAAAAGAGACTGTGCCATTATCAGAAAAGTGGTTGCTGTTTAAAAAAAGATAATGAAATTAAAAATATTGCTCTAAAAATGTATCACTGTGATCAAAGGCTTTCAGTTACTCCTTTCTGAAGACACCTCAAATAAGATTGTTTGGCATTTCTGCAGTGGCAGAAGAAACAACAACAAAAAAATAAAATAAATAAATACACAAACAAATGAATAACTAAATAAGAAGATGAAATAAATTTCTGACTTCTGCTTCAATAAATAGGTGCTCAAACTGCTTCAGTCCAGGAAAGGCTTAAAATAAGTCCTAAAGGATCTGAAAGTCTCAGAATCAAACTCTTGATGGATTTAAACTTTCATTTTCCATACTCACCCCATACTCAGTTACCATTAATTTTGAAGACAAGCCCTACAAAATATAACAATCTCCAAATATAGATTATTCTAATAATTCTCCTTTTTATTCATAATTGATTAATTATTATTTTATTTGTTAAATCATGTGCCTACTAAATAGGACCATTTTTTTCTTACTGCCTAATCAAATTAAATATATTTGGCCTTTTTTATATCTGCCCTCATGCAGATGTTTTCTGGATCTAAGTGGATTTAAAGTTTTTTTTTTTTTTTATTTCTCTATCCCCAGGTAGTCCACTTTTCTCAAATTTCAGCCCATAAACTGGATTCCTCTATAGATTAAAAAATGTTTTCCCCTTCATCTCTTGCGGTAGGTAATCGGTATTGTTGAAAAACAAATATCAAGCAAGAATAGATAGTCTAAAGACATTTCCTAGAATAGATAGTCTAAAGACATTTCCTAGAGAAGATGGGCTCTGCTGCTTCAGTCACATCAAAGGAACAGTGGCTGGTGTTGCTCACAAATTGCTGACAATAAGCTGTTTACCAGCCAGAGCAGTGCTGCAGATGTTGGGAAAACACAAAAGAAGATGTTGCACCCAGGACTTTAGGCTGGCAAAAAGATATCTTGTCTCCTGGAAATATCGTACAACACTTCAGGAATTTTTCATCTAGAGAAATATAGTATGTTTAAGAAACTGAAGACAACTCTTTTCCAGCCACTTTATCACTAAATAGCTGATCTACTGGTATTCACTAAAAGACAAAATGCTGCCTCTGATGTAATGACTTCTAACCAAGGATATGACAACCCAGATCCTAGGGCAGTTAGGATCTGCAGTAACTGTTATTCTCATAATTTCACACATTGAATTAATTGCAGTGGGTTTAAACAGATTCATGTGACTGACATCCCACAAAATGCTCTAAATAAACCTACTGGGAAATGTTTTTACAGGAGTTATCTTGGTGGCACACCTCATGGGAATAAAGAAGGCATTACAAAACTGGCCTCTACAAGGAGTCTGCGCAACTTATTTAGCTAAAACATAAAGATGTAAGCTATTTTTCAGTACAGAGGGAACACAGGTGACATAAATCAAAACACTGCAGTATCTAGTATTTATGCAGCAGATTGATTTTTAGAGCATATTACAAGCTCATTTAGGTTTTATGCTCTCTATGTAACACAAAAGTTTCTTAAGAACGGGTTTCACAAAACACAGGAAGCCAAAGAGGAAATCAGCGGAATTAGCCAGTATCAATATTGAGAAAAAGGCGTTAGCTATTATCTTTTTAATCTTCCCGAAAGCTTCCAGGGTTCAACATATATGACTCAGAGTCCTTACTTATGCCTTCTCAACCAGATCTCCTGGGTCCTTTCTCTAATCACCCTTTTCTGTCTTTGCTCCTGGGGGAACTAACTTGTCTTCTGATACAGATAATTTTCCTACTAGGCTGTAGGGTATTCAGAGCTAAAACTGCTCTACACTTTCCTGTTGAAGCTGTTCTGCATGGACAAATTAGGTAGGTGTGGGAGAGACAAAACAGCAAGATAACATGAATCAGTAACCCACTAATGAGGGTGTTCAATTCTAAGGGTGAAGACTTAAAATACAGCCTGTGTTTCAGGCAATATTTGATACAATACATCTAGGACAAAATAAATTACAAAAAAATTAAATCTCTCACCTCCAAAATGACAGACCTAATTGGAGGATAAAACTACTCTCATTTTCTCTCTCGGGCAGGACGAATATTTAACTATCCCTTAGAGTGCAGAAAACCCCCATTAGGGGAGACTCTTCTTGCATTAACTATTATCTGCAGCTTGGTTCTTCATGAAGGAAGACAGAGGTTCAAATGAGGGAATGGATAAAATCTAAGCATCACATGTTTTTAGGTGAGTCACTGAAAAAGTATGTGGCAAAGCCTCACAATACACTTCTAGACCATCTGATGCAGCATTTTATGATTTACAGTATGCTTAGAATTCTTTAATACTGGAAATATTAGAGTCCATGAAACTTAGTAGAGTGGATCTTTCTGGGCCTATATTCTACAATGCGGCATTCAAATTGGCAGTCGCATCCCACAGCTTCCTTAGCATGGCATTTGTTTCTGCCAAGGCCAGAATCAAATTCAGAAAATGTTGGAAGGGCTTGTTTGCATTCACAGTATTACCCACACTTTATATTCTATGAAGATTTGCCCTTAGCATGTTTGACATTTCTTCTTGGGAAACTGGATTTTCACTTCAGTATCTCCACATGACAGAATCACACAAGCGAATGTGTACATGTATATATATAACCATGTACACAAAGAGACATGGACATGCATACAAACATACACACAGACTCTCTGTTTAGTGGGTTTTGGCAGTGTTTTGGTTACATGTAATTCACAATTAAATGCTGCTTTTAGAACAATCTTCTCCAGAGATTCAGCTGTTCTGCTCATACCTTCTTCACAGCTGAAGAAGAGACAGCCTTGTGCAGCCTTTTTTATTGAATTAATTTGATTTTTACCTTTTGTCCTGACAGCTATCAAAATTGTCAAATAAACCAGCTTTGATTCATAAATAATGGTTCCATTATATTTACTGTGCCACCAGTCAAAGTACCTGAAATTTTAATTCACTTGTTCAGCTAAATTTCACCATCAGCTCACGGCCATAAAATTCTGTATTGACAAACTTTCAAACCAACTTTGACTCTGAGGTATCTAGTCAACATTTTTCTTCTGTGTGGATATTAGTTTATTGAATAAGTGGCATCTGTTTTCCTCCACATCACTAGTGGAGTAGGTATTTCCTTTTGACAGCTTTGCACGATTTATGGGTTTGCATGCTCTGAAGAAAAATAGTACTAAGCAAAAAATTCCAATTCATTACCTCTTAGTGCTTAATTAAGTTCATACACATTGCACACTATAGGTGAACCCTGAAATGACTGTGACAGCCACTGAGCAGCAAGTTAGATTATCTTTGGAAGACAGAGAGACTTTTAATTATCTTGACCTTATTTTTCCTCCTATGATATTCATAAATTTTCCTTCTATTTTGTTGTCTCCATCAAATGTACCAACCCATTCTGAAAACAAGATTATATCCTCAGCTATTTCCTTTTATCTGCACATTTAGGCACCAAATGTTTTTACAAATAGTGAAGTCAAGCACTAGTTTTTATCATCTCACTTCACACAGCTGCAGATGAATCGTTTTACAGGCTCCTCCTAATAATGGTTTGGTTTTGGAAACGATAACAGCTTGATAAAAGAAGAAAGCAGTGGATCTGGCTGTCTAGATACAGAAATAGAGCCTGGGCTTTACCTGTCAGGGTTCTGCGTACACACATGCATCTGTAAGAGGATCCTCTGGGTGAAAGTCTTAAAGCATTGCCCACATTTCCAAAGATGCCAGTCACTGAACTCAGAATTTAGTTGGCTTGTTGAAGTTGGGCTTGCAAGAACTCGTTGGTTTTTGACACTGATCTGGTTAAATCCTGACTCGATGGACCCAGACTTATCCAGGAGAGAAAAATTTCTGCTACACGGAGTCTGTGGAAATACTATGGATCGCTGTAGAGTAGCAGGGGATAGTTTGCTACTTTTATTAAATGGCTGTACGGTGTCTTGTCTGGACATGGCCTCCATTACAGTCGAAGGGACATTCACTGGGAGAAAACAAGAAAAGTAAATAAGATGCTTTTTAAAAACTAATATAGTCTTGGAAGACACCAAAAAAAAAAAAACTACCAACATCCATTTTTCTTGACACTAGAATTAAACAACTTTATTTTAACAATGCACAAAAAAATGGGCTTGAATGAGACAGTGATCTCAAAGGATGATGCTGTACCTGTGACATATGACATGCGAACTAGTATCTGAGACCGAAAGGAGTCAGAGAAGAGTGAATGGAATATACATTTGTTTCACAAATGGGTTTGTCATCTGAAAGAAAATGCTGCTGCACTTGTGATACCCTGACTCTGAATGGTGTAGTCAGCATGTCCAATTGCTATACCACAGACAAGCATGAATTTTGAGAGCATGGGGAAAAAAAACCTTGCTCAGGCACTCCTTGAGATACAACAGGGCTTAAGTATCTACTGCAGCAATAGTTCCCTTATCCTTTCAAAGGGCAGCCACTAAGGGCATTATATTATTCCATCTCACAAACAGTCACACAGCCTATACATTACAAAGCCAGTGACTTGGCCACAACTCATATGATTAAGGCTAACAGCAGTTAGCTCACCACAAGACAATACAAAGTATAGGCAGAGAGATCTTTGTGCATCGATTTCCCACCTACAAAATAGGAACAAAAGTTGTCTCTAATCCCAGAAATTAGGTTCATCGATTAACTATGGCTTATGAGGCACTCAGCTATTTCAACAACAAATGCAATAGCTGTTCTCACAAAGAAGTGATTTAATGCTGAATTTGAACGTTGCATGATAAGGAAGGAAGGAGGTCAAACATATAGAAGACTGTTGAACTGCTGCCTCAATCTTTGAATATCATCTAGTTCATGCAGTGAATGAAGCAAGAGTTCTATGGAAAAATAGTGTCAGCCAATATAAAATTGCACCACAATACAAAAGGAAACATAATATAGGCCTCCTGGGCCCAGTACCTTCTCATGCTTTCCATTTTGGCACACTCAACTTCATCAGATAGTATTTTAATGGAGATTTTAAAACTAAATATGAGGTGTGCATATGTCTATGTTTACATATGTTCACACAGTTACTCTCACAATCTGAATAGGTACACAGCACCTACTGAACAGGTGACTAAAAACTCCAACTCTGTTTAGGTAAGACATGATTTTAGATTTCTAAGGACAAATGAGAATTCAATTTCAGTCATAAGCTACAATAACATAACATTATTTAATGCACAATAAAACCATAACACAAATTAATGCTTTGGTAATGCCTTAAATAATGCCAGCTACTTAACAGAGTTATGTTCTAATACCTTCCATCAATCGTAGTGATTCCAATATTACAATACTACATGCTATTTAATTTACTTAAGTTGCGGTCCTTCCTAGTCTGTGCTTTTCTGGAGTATCTGAAGATCTGATTTCTAAGTAGAGTTAAATCTATTGGGCTGGCTAACAGAAGTTTCCAAACATATAATGCATCTTCTATGTCTCTTCAGTACAAGTAGCAATTTGTATACTTTCATTTTGTCCCAACATCCTCACACAAGAAGTGTGGATATTCTATTCATAGAAGTCCACAGAAATAATAAGATCAGTATATTAAAGACCTAAGGAATATAGACAGAATTTGTACTGGGTGAAAATACTCCTGTGCAAAGGATAAGCAGAAGGTCTACTCTGAAGGCTTAATCAAGCCAGCATCTCTATGCTCAGAAATGAATTTCATCTACTCATGTCAGTCTCTGTGGATGAAACTCTGGTTTCTGTCACAGCAAAATAGTAAGTGACAATATTTAGAGATTTTAGCCTTAATGCTTTGCTTTTCAAATAAAGGTTTTGCAAGCTTCATGAAAGAAAAAATAATATTTCTATGTTATACACTGCAGAGCATGAGTTTTATCAGCAAACATTACTGCCAGTAATTAAATTTCTTTTAAACCTTTCTCAAGCCCAACAGATTTGGAAACTCAAGATGAAAAAGGGTGTTTATTTTTGACAGTTTAATCCCTGCTGTCCTGCTGGTTTATTGCTGTACGGTTCAGTATTTAAGTTGCTACGAGACACAAGTTCATCCTAGCATTACTGTTTAAGTATACAAGTACTTGACCAAAAAATTACATCTTGTATGTAACTGATTAAGCATGGGTAGCCACAGGGTTACTTTGGACCAAAGTCAGTTAGGCATCCATTATCAGTTTCTTCCACCATATAGATACACATAGCTGTCAAAATGGAAGTGAGGTCTTTGAAGCAAGCTCCAATCAAGTTCCACACACAGTGAAACTGAAGGGTGAGCTTAGATATCCCATCCCCATGACAAAGGTATCCAGCTCTAGATTGCACTGGGTCTGTGTTAGAGTTACATGCTTAATTTTGTTACAATTCCCAGCAAACTAAAAATAAAATATTGAGAAGAAGAATGGATGGAAACAGGAATGGCTAGAATGGAATGGAGGTTCACTGTAGGTTCAGATTACTTACATTCAGTTATTATTTAGAAAGGCTGGCTTTTACCTTTCAACCACAAGGATCTCGTCTTTATAATCAGTTGTACAAAGCTTTTCTCAACATAGCCAGTGGTAATAGAAAGAAGGATCACTAACAGAGGCCTCATAGACCTGCAATACATTTCTGTTTTGGCCAAGACAGTATCTTGGGATAGGTCTGATAACAATAGAGAAGGCCAAGCAAATCAGTTAGGAACAGACCGGGAATGAATCACTTAGAAGACTGATGCTACACACTATCAAGCTACGTGGAGCTGTCAGGTGGAAAATCCACCCATGACTCTATGCATCGATGGTTCTATGATTCTATGATTTGGTGAAATCTGCTCTTTAACAGCACATATCTGCACACTTCCAAACACCTCAATTTATTTAGGTAAGCATACCATGGTTTTGCACAGCTTCAGTATATCAGTTTTAGGGGTTTATTCTGTACAAATCAATCTCACCCTAAATTAAATTTAATATGTCCTAAAATACTCTAGGAATACAAATGATTAGGTATGAATCAGGAATTCTGATTTATGAAGGTAGAAATTCAAGGAAGAACTTACAGTTTTCGTCTTGTGCAATGCACTGAAGAGGGATTCCAAAGAAAGATGTGTAGCTGTCATTGTACCAAACCAAGAGCTCAGTGCCTCTGGGAATATCTATACAAGCCCGGTAGAATATATTTGACCTAATAAAAAGAAAAAATAACTAATTTAGAAATAGAGCATTCTTCTCTTATCAGACACAGTATGATACAACATTACAGTAGAAATCCATTGTTTTGGAAGCCTTTCTGCAGATAACTAAAAGAAAAACACTGATTATTTTAAAACCAAATCTATCATTAAGAAATGGCTTTGTTCCTGTAGCACAAAATAGGAAAGAACTTACAGGCACTTTGTTCCTAGCATATTTTAAACACTAAGATTTTACAAGCTACAAGATTTTATGAAAAGATAAGTATTTTCTTGCACTGTCCCTTTTAAAGTGATTTTAGAAATGCTACAATTTGCTCATGCAGTAGCAGCATCAGAGTTCTGCACGCAGTTCAGTAAGTTCAGCCATTTAAAAAGCTTTGCATTTGTCATCTAAAGTTAACATATCTTAGGGGAAATAAACAACAGTTCTTTCATTTTAACAAGTTAACTTAGCAAGAAGTTTGAAGTAGTACAACACAGCCTTTCATTACAGCAATATAACTCCGAAAAAGAGATCCTGGATTGCTAAGTAAAACAGACTTTGACTTAGGGAAATACAAAAATGGGGTCAATTTGAACATACAACTATAAAATCTTCCCCATTATGGAACATAAGGTAATGTTGATGATCCTTCAGTAAGTACAATTTAGTGTTAGCATAAATGCAGTATCTTATCACATCACTGTGGAAAAAGCATGTAGGTAGTCCTCGACCACTGAACAGGGAGTTGAGGTGGGGGGAAGGAAAAATCCTAGAATCTCCAGCATAAAAACAAGAGCCTTATTCTGATCTTGCACTGGTGTAAATAGCTTCAGAGTGATACTTCCATGCTTAACAGATTTACAGTTTGGGGGCAAACTCTGTATAAGATTAGAATCAGGCACAAGATAAAATAAAAATGTTATCAGTTTGTAGCGGCTTTTCCCTTAGGCTTCACATGGAACAGTAAAACACACTCCTGTGAGATGGATAGAAATTCAATATATACAAGAAGAACACTCCACTTTCGCTGAAGGATCACATACCGAAATGATACAGTCAAAGTACCAAGAAATGACCATTTTTTACAACAACTTATGTAAGGCTGAAAAAACATCTATAGACAAAAAAAAAAAATAAATAAAAAATTAAGCCTCAACTGGTTTTCTGAGTGAAGAATTGCTACAAACGTTAGCCTGAAATTCAAGATAAAAATGTTTAGGGTTGGTAGGCCTTAAATTTAGACTTTCTATAAAGAATTGGCTGTAGCGATGCAATTTGTTCCTTGTATAACACTGCAGACACAAGGAGAATCTTTTTACCACATTTTTCATGGCAGTGAGATATGCACTTGTCAACATATTTTGTCACTGCAAAGTGGCTCTTGGCAACAGGATCATAAAGATCAATAAAAAAGTGCAGATTCTCAGTATTTTACTAGCAGCTGCAAAAATTTCATTTATCTTGTTATTTTCCTCGCCTACTGCTACCCTGTCTCAGGAGGGCACTGCTAGCTAAGCAGAACGGTTTTCCTACCCTTCTATGAATATCTGACAAAAACTCTTCCCTTTGTGTCTACCCCCTCTCCTTCCCTCCTCTTCCTCCTCCTCTCCTCTTCTCTCTCCTTCTTCCTAGAACTAAGCATTTTGTTAATTCTTTCCACGGTTATATAAAAATGAAAATCAGAGCCATGCTATAGATTACCAGCATCTCCTAACTTGAGAAAAATGGAGTCTACTTTGTACTTCATCCTTGTAACATTTCATCTCTCAGTTTGGCTTCCCTTAACATAAACACAGCAGCCCGGCAAATGAATGTACTAAAACTAAATGACACACTTTGCCGCTGAAAGAGCAGAACTGTTTTTGAGCAATGGGTGGTCTGTGGGGCTTGGAATAGGCAAGGAAAAAAAAGTGTAAGCATACACTGTCCCTTACAAGCATGTAGAGCTTCCAAAACTCGCAGAAATCTCTGCATGCTGAAGTACATCAAAGAGATTTTTCCCTTTTTGGATAATATTTCCTTTGCTGACATGTATTTAGTATTGTGGTTGGATGACTCATAAAGATTGCTTCATGGCGTCCCAACACAGTTGAAGCAGAACACATGCCAACAAACATTATTGTCAGCCTCAAAATAAAAACAAAACGTTCAGCTAAGGGTCAATCAATCAAGAGCACTTTGAAGAAAATTCCATTTAGATATTACAAATCATAACAGAATGAATTTAAACCAGCTGAATTTCTGTGAGGAGGATGTCCATGTACAATAAAAATTAGACTGGTTTTTCAGTGTCCAACTTTTCTATTTTCTTACACTTGGATGCAGTCACTGGTGATGGATGCCAGTTTTTTAAATTGTGTTTTTGTAGTTCATTTTATAAAGATCTGAAGTAATCGAAAGCAGATCAACAGAAGGAACTCAAGTAAAAACTCCATCATGAAAGGAGAGTTGTAAAATCCACTTAATATTGAAAGATGTGTAATGACTTTCTCATGTTCACTTTTCATTTAGGTTTGTCATCTATATATATATATATACGCATATTTTTTTTTCTTATTTATATATGTATGTGTGCATGCACACACCACCACATTGCGAAATAGTTCACAAGATGCCTACAAAAATACTCTTTCATCACAGCAAACTTTATTCGTTATCCAGTGTGTTTATTTAAAATCCAGTGGGATTTTAGGAACAGATATCAGATATTGAAGTGCATAATAAAAGATTTGTAATGTATAAATAGGATTGTTATTTTTTTAACTGCAGCATTATTCAGTCAACTGGCCAGAGAATAAAAAAGCTGAAAATGCAATTGAACAATTTTACCATTGTTAAATTGGAACCCTATGGGATAATCAAACTTTATATATTTTATTTTAGCTTGGTTTTGTATGTTTTTTTTAATTTTAAAGGTACTTTAAATAGCTTAAGATTCTGTCTGAAGAAAAGAAACTCTACTGTCTAAAGCAACTAGCTAAAATCGGGCTTGCTCGTTACGACTGGCAAGCCCAGGGCATTCTTTGATGTGCTTCCTACCACATTTAAAAAGGCCAAGCAGTTGCTTCTAATTCTGAGACGAAAGACTTGTTTATAGCCGAGATCATGTATTTATATGTGTTGTCTGGGTTTTCTGAATCTCTTTGTGAGTACAAAGTAAAATGCACCGTAATTTCTTTAAATTTTTCTTCACATTTTGACCTTCTCTAGCCAGCAACAGAAGAGACACAAGTACTAGCAATCCTGGCTAGCAGGTGCACTCAAAGTTTAAGCTTTAAGTGTATATGTGCCTCATGACTGACTCTTGGAAAGCTTTTGGGTTCAAAGCCACTCTCCTGCCATTTATCCCCTTCTTGTATCACATGCATCTTTATTAAGGGCAGAGGGTTGCTTGTGTTAGCTTGCTTCTGGTTAGACTGTTTGAAAAAGTGCAGGGGTCTCTGTGAAGTGTGGTGGGTACACAAATGATTTGGAGCTGTATTTGTTCCCAGTAGCTCCACTCTGCAGCTTTTGAGTTTCCCTGAATGAGCACACTCAAAATCCCTGCTGCTGTCTTTGCACTCAAAGGCTGTAGTGCTGGTGACAGTTATATTCTGGCTTTTCACTAAAAGCATTTTCATTTTTTTGCATTGAGTAAAAAAAAATATACTTTACCTGTACTGAACCACTGTTAAATTCTGCTCCCCGCAATGCCTTGCACATCGGATGTATCTCATCCAGCTTGACTTACTGGGTTCCCCACCATCAATAAAGTGCTGCAGTGTCCCATCTTGATCATATATCTGGGGGAGATGTCACAAGGTCAAGTAGTTAGAACAAATCATCAGCAATCATTTTCACTGATTTGCTGGTGTCTCTCTGTGCCTTTTCCAGGAATTTATTGCAATGAGATTTGTCATTGTGTACTGATGCTCTTAGAAATCTACATGGAGCAGCAGAAAAGTATTTTGTGGGATGCAAGTTTATCATGTTTCTTTTATCAAGCCAATCTTTTTGTATTAAACATGTTTGTGGTGTCTGAAAGATGTGATCATGTTTCCCAAAGAATATTTAACCTATTTTGACAGTCTGGCCTTAAGTAATGAACTGCCAGATAAACAAGAAAATCTGGGCATAAAGACTTCATTGAAAATGCTGGAACATCTGAGCAAGGGGCAGTAGTAATCCCTAAACAAGTACCCCTTCCTTCACATCTCAGTTGCAGCAAGAACATGCACTTCAGCAAGCTCACATGATACGTTAGGGAGTTGTAGGATTCATAATACCAAAACAAATGAGACTAGAAGCAAAAAGAGATGCCTTTAGAAGCTCTCTTGAGACATATAATTTTTGAAGTAGTAAATGAAAAATCAATCCTGAGGGAATCATGGTTTTCCTAAACATGACATCCCTGCTAAGGATATGTGAGCCAGTTATGATGATTTAAAAAATAACAGACAGTATTATGTCTATTCAGCACTGGATACTGCCTCTCATATCAAAGAATGAAATTGCTCTGGAAATTGGTTCTGAAATTAAAATACATGTTTCATGCACACCTGTGCTTCTGACTGCTTAAAAATGTCATTTAGAAAGTCCTAATCTTAGTAAAAGTGCATGGTGTTATAAGATTTTTACCTGTTACACCATTACTTTGTTAAAATTCAGCAATTCATCTGAACAATTAAGATCTCATCTGAAGAAAACCTGATCTTCAGATCTTTTGCCCCCTCCATCTGCTTCAACAATCCTACCCTTCTGAAATTACATGAGCCTAAATTCATGTCTTCTTGAAAGTACTAATTCTGCTAATTCAAGGGGAAGAATCTGAATTTAAGATTTCAAGAGAAAAAAACCAACAATCTTGCATTTCTATTTCAATATAAAGAGAATAATCTCAGAAACTATGTGGCTATATTCAATATTTCTGATTTATTAAAAGTGAGTTTCCTATAATGCATGCAAAAACATATACAGGAATCAAAATCTAGTTCTATACTCCACCGCATGTAAGTCTCAAATTCAGGAGCCAGCCTTGCTTTTGGTTTTGACCAAGAGGGACTGAGAGTAATCAGGAGCAACATATCCACTTCTAGAGCATGACAGACAGGGAAGTCAAGTGTATACAGAGATCCTCATCTTTTGTTCCATAGTGCTTACGAGGAGCAGAGAGAACCTGATCAGATGCATGCTGGGGGAGCATCCTGGACAAGCAAGATGGTACCCTAACATGCACTGAGGGGTGAAATAAAGTCAGAGAAATCAGACAGAGTACTCCAGCAGCAGAAACTCTAACTTAGAAAGTAAGTAACACTGCATTTGATTTGTTTACTCCTGAAATTGCATAACACAGGTCAAAATCTGGAAAAACCAAAACACTAACCAAAACCAAAACCAAACAAAACCAACCAACACCAAAATCCTTAACTGCAGTGATTATTATTATTCATATTACCATCATGCACCACTTCTTACCCATTTTACAATTGCCTAAATCTGGCAACTGCTGTACAACTTTCTGAAGAAACCATCACAAAAGATCAAACTATGACCTTCCATAGCAGAAGAAAAGCAAACCTGCAGCGCAACCCAGACACTATAGTGCAATTCAGTACTGCAATCCAGCAAATTATATGGATACACATATTTGTCTGCATCTGTATTATACATATGTACACATGCATATGTACTTTAACACTCACAGTATATTAAAAAAATTATGTTAATGACTATCTCACTACATCCATCTAATCTGATGTAACTTTTAATACATTACAAGATCCTCCTGACAAAGTAAAATACCATTTTTCCAACTCCCTATGGAGAATGCATGTGTTTTTTTCAGTATATCACAACAGTCATTGCTTTAAGTGGTGGAAATATAATTAGTTATTTTGTTTTTCTACTTTGATTACACTTGGAAGCGTCACCTAAACTGCTTACTGATTCTTTTCCCTCTTCTGGTACAGAGTACTTGTTAACTTTGGGGTCTGCTGAGTTTTAAGGGGCTTTCTGCTTTTGCTTTAGACGCTTCAAAACTTCAAGATTTCTTTTTTACAGCATTTTCCAATTCTGAGGAATGCACCAGACTGAGAGAGACAGAGAGACCAGAGTCTGATACAAGAAGACTGCACTCTTGACATGCCTTGTGCTCCTCCTTTGCAGTTTCCATGTAATTAAATAACTTCGTAATAGGTTCTTGGCTACTTACAGTCAACAGGTAGTTTACTGCTATGTTACATATCAAGAGACTCAGAATGTGAACCATATTATTGCTCTCTGAATTTAATAATCTGACTTTGGAATACAATAGAAGCACCTTCTTTTTCCTAGAAAGTAAGTCTGAAGTGTAACCAGCACAATTCAGATTTCTTTTTTTATTTTGTATATTGCCTTCCTTTGTAAACTCCCGAGTTTACTCAGTAATTTAGATATAAACACAGGTCAGGTTCATCTTGTACTGGCATACAAATATAAATTAAATATGAAGGACTGGATTTATTAGTTGCTGGATTGTTTACTTATAATTATTTGGAGGTTATAGATAATGAAACTTTTAATGACAATGATTATAGCAACATATAATGGCAATAGTAATAATATTTCTTAAGCACATGGTGTCTCATGTAAATGATGCTCTAAAATCTGTGAACGACCATTACTAAGTAAAATAAACAGCAGTTGCTGGAACATCTGTCACTCTGGCAACATATCAAGTGTAGGTAGAACTGTCAAATATTTAAGTCGTATTAACAGAAAAGGCTGAGAGCCTTCTGAAAACTAAATTATTTCAGTAGTGACAATGATCAGTATTTCTCACACGGACAGAGGGGAGTAAATTAAAATCTAAAGCTAAAGACTGGTGTTCCAGCTTCTGTTACGGATGCCACAGAATTTTAGAATAAAGGAATCCAAATGTAATAGCATAGCTGCAGAGAAAGCCAAGATAAAAAGCAATTAAAAACAATTTCACGGAATAGACAGGGAGAGCAAAATGGTCAGTTCATTGCAGTTTTCTTCCTCTTTATCTGTTGTATCCTTCTGTTCTCTTTCCATAGTCTGCTAAAGGACTGTGTCTTCAGAAAGTCTACCTATATTTTATTTCTCCATATGTCAAATAAAAAAGGTACTATTATACCGTTTACTTGACCTCTCATTTTCCTTGCAGACAGAGGGAGAAAAACTGGTCCTCAGAGTGGAATCTCTCTTTGCATATACTTTTGTAGTGTCAGAGTAGCTATTAGGATTATATTTTACATTGCAAGGCATCAAAAGAGACATGAATAAAACCACAAAACATGCAAGAATTCTTATCATTAATAGAAAACCTTGCTTTTTGCTGTTTACTGCTGTTCTCATTGACATCACGCATAAGGTCAGGATTTTCAAATCACTCAGCATTAGCCTTCTCCTCCCACAAGAAGTTCTACCCTTGCCTTCAGTGGGAAGAGTCGATAGTAAGGAGTACTTTTGATGAGTACATGAACATCACAAATTGTTTATTGTAACAGTCTGACCACACTGACATCTCAGAAATTCTAGCAACCATACAAATTACATTCTTTTTCTGATAATGTATGAACCTACAAGCCACAGCAACACTGAAACCTTCTTCCTTTGCTTTTTTGGATATCAGAACTGAATAATCTCTACATTAGGCAATCTTACTCTTGCGAGACCTTGTTTTTGACAAACAGCACTACAAAATCCTCTAAAAGTAACTGTATCCTAAACAGAAGTTGAAAACAATACCAAGAGCCTTATAAGCATGGGTACTAAGCTGACAGTTTGTAAAAAGTGTGTAATTATAGAGTCATAGAATCATTTAGTTTGGAAAAGAGCTTTAAGACTAATGAGTCCAACTGTTACCTAGTACTGCCAAGTCCACAAGTAAACTATGTCCCTCAGTGTCTGTAGGTAGTTAGGGTCTGGCGGTTGGAAGATGTTACACTGTATGGAAAGATAAGACCCCCCTCCGAGTAGCCAATAGGGCCTAGCCGAGGACGTAAGCAGACAGACGTGACGTTGTAAACCCAGGCTATATAACACCGTGTTACTCGCCAATAAACACCATTTGCCATCCACCATATTGGTGTCCGTGAGCTGATGGCCCGAGCAGCCTGGGAATGGTCGCCGTGCCGTGTCTGAACCAGGTCGCCAGGCCAACAAAGGCAACAAGTGGTACAGCGCGACATCTTCCGACCGCCAGACCCTAACTACCTACAAGTGTCACATCTACATGTCTTTTAAATACCTCCAGGGATGGTGATTCCACCACTGCCCCGCACAGATTGTTACAGTACTTGAAGAAATTTTCAGTGAACGAATTGCTCCTGCTATCCAATCTAAACCTCCCCTGGCACAGCTTGAGGCCATCTCCTCTTGTTCTGTAACTTGTTACTTAGGAGAAAGGACCAACACCACCCTCACCACAATTGCCTCTCATGTAGTTGTAGAGAGCGATAAGGTCCTCCCTGAGCCTTCCCTTGTCCAGACTAAACAACCCCAGTTCCCTCAGCTGTTCCTCAGTAGATTTGTGCTCCAGGCTCTTCACCAGCTCTGTTGCTCTCCTCTGGACCCACTCCAGCACCTCAATGTCTCTCTTGTAGTGAGGGGCCCAGAACTGAACAGAGAATTCGAGGTGCAGCCTCACCAGTGCAGTACAAGGGGATGATCACTGTGCTCCCTGGTCCTGCTGGCCACACTATTGCTGATACAGGCCAGCATGCTTTTGGCTTCTTGGCTGCCTGGGCACAAGGTGGCTCACGTTTAGCTGCGTCAATCAGCACCCCCAGGTCATTTT